GCAGGCCCCGCCCCCGCCCCGTGCCATGCGAGCAGCCCTGGCCCCGCCCATTCCCGTACGTTTTTGCCGCCCTTGGTCACGCCCATCTAAACCACGCCCCCTCACTGACAGACAGCTGGCTCGGGGGCGGGAGCGCGGGCGAGCCCGCAGATGAGTGACAGCGAGCGCAGCCAATCAAAGCCCGCAAAGGAGCCCCGGAGTCCCCGCCCACCGCGGAGATCCCCGCGCGTCACGTGGAGAGGGAACTGGGTACTGTGTATGCAAATATATGCAAATAGCATGTTAATGAGGGATCTGCGAGCAGTGCGGGCTGACAGCCGGGGAGGCGGGGCGGGGCCCGGGAGGGGGACACGAGGGCGGGGACAGGGGGGGACACGGGCGCCCACGCCCGGTGCCCGTGCGGAAGCGCCGGGCGGCGGCGCCGGGAGCGGCCCGAGCGCAGGTGAGAGCCGGGGCCGCTCCCCACGGGCGCGGGGGTCCGCGGGGGTTCCGTGGGGAGGGGGCCCGTGGGGAGGGGGCGCCGTGGCGGGGCGGTGCTGAGGCGGCCGGGAAAAGCCGCGGGGACACGCGGGGACAGTGCCCCGTCCCCGAGTGGGGCGGCAGCCCGGACACCCCGTGTCCAGGCGCGGTGGCCGCGGCCGGGCCCGTCCGTGCGACACGCGTGGGGACCAGAGGAGACCCCCGGCTCGAGGGGAGCGGGGGGCTCCTGTGACCGCACAGGGACCGCGGTGGGGACCTGCCGTGTCCCCGTGTCCCGCGCGTGCTCTCCGTGTCCCCATCCCTCCTGTGTCCCCCGTCCCCCCTCGTCCTGGGACCGTGTCCTCTCCATGCCGTGTCCCCTCTCTTCTCATGTCACCCGTCCCTCCTCGCTTCTCCATGTCCCCTGGCTCCCGTGTTTCCCGTGTCCCTCCACGTCCTCGTGTCCTCAGTGTTGTCCCCATGCGCCCCCCATCCCCCGTGTGTCCCCTGTCCCCTGTGCACTCCCCTTGTCCACGCTGTGTCCCCGTGTTTCCCATCCCGTGTGCTCCCCTTGTGCCTCGTGTCCCCTGTCCTGTGTCCCCTCCGTCCCCCCACTGTCCCCGTGTCCCACTCTCCCCTGTGTGTGTCCCCTGTCCCTGCTGTCCCCTCCCCTTCCCAGCTCCTCTCTTCTTTCCCCGAAGCCACCGCAGCTTCTCCTTTCGGGGCTCGGGTGCCGCCCCCGGCCCCCGCGGGGCGCAGAGCTGGGGGGGCCTCGCCCCCTCCGGGCCCCGAAAGCGGAACCGGGGCTCCCGCGGGGGCCGTGCGGGCCGGTTCCTCTTTCGGGGTGACGCGGTGCCCGCTGCTGTCCCAGGCATGGAGCCCCCGCGGCGGGTGCGCCTCAAGCCCTGGCTGGTGGCCCAGGTGAGCAGCCGGCGCTTCCCGGGGCTGCGCTGGCTCGACCCCGAGCGCCGCCGCTTCGTCATCCCCTGGGGACACGCCACCAGGAACCCCCCGGGGCCACAGGACCACGACACCATCTTCAAGGTGACACCGGGGACGCGGGGCGGCAGCGACAACGGGCACCGGGATGGGGACGTGTGGGCCCGGGGGACACGGGATGGGGGCGATGGGGGACGGGGTGACAAGGGGGACACGGCATGGGGACAGTAGGGGTATAGGAGAAACGGAATGGGGGTGACAGGGTAATGGGGTGACAGGGGGGATGTGGGATGGGTGCAGTGGGGATGTGGGGGACAAGGGACAGGAGTGACAGGGTGATGGGTGACAAGGCACACGGGGTGCGGGGTGGCGAGGGGGACCCGGCAGGCGGGTGAGGGGACAGGCAGGCTGGGATGCCGGCGCTGCCCCCCCCGCAGGCGTGGGCGCAGGAGACGGGCCGGTACCGGATGGGGGTGACAAGGGACAGGCAGGCTGGGGTGCCGGCGCTGACCCCCCCGCAGGCGTGGGCGCAGGAGACGGGCCGGTACCGGGCCGGGGACCCGCCGGACCCGCCGCGCTGGAAGGCCACGCTGCGCTGCGCCCTCAACAAGAGCCGCGAGTTCCGGCTGCTGGTGGACGGGCCCCGCGGCTCCCCGGCCCAGCCCTTCCGCATCTACGAGCTCTGCGAGGAGCCCCCCGGGGCCGCAGGTACGGGGGGCGCTGGGGAGGCCTTTGAGCGGCCCCCGACGTCCCAGCACCCCACAAGGACCTGGCATCCCCCAAGTCCCCCAGCACCCCGTGAGGTCCCAGCCCCCAGCAGCCCCCACACCCCACAAGGACCCAGCACCCCCAGAGACCTGCCCCCCCAAGGGACCCACCCCCTGGGAAGCCTCAGTGCCCCATGAGGCCCCACTGACTGGGTGGCCGTGGCTGTGGCGAGGCCACGCGGTGGCTGGAAGGGTTGGGGTGGCCATGGGGGGGGTGGGACAGGGGTGGCCATGGCTGTGGGGTGGCCATGGGATGGACGGGGGTGGCCACAGGGTCGCTGGGTGAGCGTGGCCATGGGGTGGCCCTGGGGTGGCTGGGTTGGGGGGCCCATGGGCACAGAGTGGCTGTGGGATGGATGGGGGTGGCCCTGGGGTGGCTGGGTTGGGGTGCCCGTGGACAGAGTGGCTTTGGGATGGATGGTGGTGGCCCTGGGGTGCCCCCAGCCCCGCTGACCCCCTGGCCCCCCGGCAGTGACTGACCTGGAGCTGAAGTTCCAGTACCGGGGCCGCCAGGTGTGCGCCCTGACCGTCAGCAACCCGCACGGCTGCCGGCTGTTCCACAGCAGCCTGGAGCCCACGCGGGAGCAGGAGGAGCTCTTCGGGCCCCTGACGCTGGAGCAGGTGCCCTTCCCTGCTCCCGACGCCATTCCCAACGAGAAGCAGCGCTTCTACACGCACCAGCTGCTGGACGTGCTGGACCGCGGGCTCATCCTGGAGCTCCAGGGCCAGGATCTCTTCGCCCTCCGGCTCTGCCAGTGCAAGGTCTTCTGGACGGGGCCCTGCGCCGCTCCCCAGCCGGGCCCCAACCCCATCCAGAGGGAGACGAGGACCAAGCTCTTCAGCCTCGAGGGCTTCCTCAACGGTCAGAGGGGAAGGGGAGGTGGCCCCGTGACCCTCGTGGGCAATGGATTGGGATGGAGAGGCCAGCTGGGGTGGGGGCGCACCAGGCACATGGTGGCATCAGCGGGACAAATGTGCAATGGGGACAGCAGCCGGAACGGTGGGGACGCCAGGTGGCACATGGGAACCTGGTGGGATGGGGGGACAGAGCTGGGATGGGGGTCAGCGGCTGGCTCTCGGGGTGGCCCTCAGCGGGGTGCTGGTGGCCCAGGCAGGGGTGAGGCCCCGTCCTGCCCCTCACCCCGGCGTGGGGCCCCGCAGGCCTCATCCAGTTCCAGAAGGGGCAGACCCCCACGCCGCCCCCCTTTGAGATCTTCCTCTGCTTCGGCGAGGAGTGGCCGGACCAGAAGCCCAAGGAGAAGAAGCTGATCACGGTGCAGGTGAGGGGCCGCGCCGGGGGCACGGGCGGGCTCCCTGCCCCGCTGACGCCCCGCGGCTCCCGCAGGTGGTGCCGGTGGCGGCGCGGCTGCTGCTCGAGATGTTCTCCGGGGAGCTCTCCTGGTCGGCCGACAGCATCCCGCTGCAGATCTCGCACCCCGACCTCAAGGACAGGATGGTGGAGCAGTTCAAGGAGCTGCACCAGCTGTGGCAGAGCCACCAGCGGCTGCCGCCGGCGCAGCCCCTGCCCGGCCCCTCGGCGGGGCCCTGGGCGCTGCCGCCCGGCCCCCTGCCCCACTGACAGGGACACGGGGACAGCCGTGGCACTGCCAGCCGGGGTGAGTCACGCCGTGGCCATCTCGGCTGGTGGGGCCGGGGCCACCCAGCACCATCCTCATCCCTGTCCCTGTCCCCATGCCTGTCCCCCCAGAGCTGCCAGTGACCAGCACTGGGGTGCTCTGCAGGGGAAGGGGAGTGTGACCCCCCACCCTGGGGCAGCTCTGCGCCCCTCCCTGCATTGCCAGGGATAATCCCCCCGAGATTTTCAGGGCAAACAGCAAGAAAACAGGGGCTGGAGCCACCTTGGACCTGGAGCCCCCAGGGATGGGGGGTACCCAGCGCTGGGGAGGGCACAAAGCAGCCCCAGCCCTGGGAGGAGAACCAGAGGGACCTTGGGAGGTTTTAATTTATTTTTTCAGTTTTTTGTTGTTTTTTATTGTTGTCGAGATGGCTACACACCCCCGGAGGGAACCGCATGCGCCCGCCCGCCCTGCCCGCACTCGAGCCACCGCCTCCTACCCCAAAATCAAACCAAAGAAAACCCCGAAAAAGGAAAAAAAAAAAACAGAAAAAAACCAAACAAGAAAACAAACAAAAAAAGCAGAACAAAATAAAATATAAATCTCTATTTGCAGAGTCCGTCCCGCCTGCGTCGTCTCTGGGAGTCGGCGCCAGGCAGGCCACGGTGGGCTCAGTGGGGCAGCGCCCCAGGACCCCCCGACTGACCCCCCATCTTCCTAAACAATTTGTACTGTTTGTTTTTTGTTTGTTTCTTTTCCTTCTTTTTTGTCTCCATTTCACAGAAAGTTTTTCTACTTCTTTTGCTGCCGGGCGGGTCCGGGTGGCCCCGCGTGGCTCCGGTGCCTGGTGGGTTGCAGTTGGGTTGGAGGCGCTGCCCTGGTGGCCGAGCCCCGGCCGCCGGGACCCCCGAGCCCTCCTCCCGTGGCTCCGGACTCGGGGACGCGCTGCAGCGGGCGAGAGCCCTCGGCTGATTGTGGGACACATTCTTGGGTTGCTGTTGCCTGTCTTCTCCTTAAAGACATTCCTGGGAGGAGGAAGGGGGCTTCAGCCCTCTGTCCCCATGTCCTGTGGGGCGGGGGACCCCAAGCCAGGCTCTTACCTGGGAGACAGGTGCCACGTGGAGCCGGAGCTATCGGAACAGGCGGGTGAAGTCCCTCAGAGCCCAGCAGACTTGTTTACATTCCTCAGCACTGCAAGACAAGGGGTGACATCAGGGGGTGACCCCAAGGGGACATTTGGGACCCAGGGAAGGTGTCCCGCCAAGGGATGGGAGCTGGGAGCGTGGCAGCTCGGCTCCAAGGTGTTGGGAGAGATGAAGGGACAATCATCAGGACAGAACAAGGCCAGCAGCCCCCTGGATTGTCCCTGGAGGAGACCTGTGTGCCACCACGGTGGTGGCTGGGTGGAAGGAACCAGCTGCCCCCAGGCACTTAGCCTCTGAGATTTGACCAGGGGCGAGATGGAGCCAGGCAGAGGGAGGTGACATTGCCAAAGTGGCTGGTGGCCCTGGGAAGGGACAGGCCTGGGCAGGGCCTGGCAGCTGGAACCAGTGACTCATGGGGATGAGGAGGTGGCTCAGGAAGGGCTGCAGCTCTGCAGGGATCGGGCTGGGCAGAAAAACCCGTTGGGTGACAGCAAAGGCACCACATGGCCCTGGGCTCCATGTGCCCGTGCAGGCAGATGGCACAGCCCAGCAGGAGCAGCAGCACAGGCAGGGCTGGGGCTGCTGGAGGCCAGCCTGAAGGAGGAAGCTGGTGCCAGCTGGAGACCCCGGTGGCACTCACCTGGTGACCTGCTTGTGGAAGTCGGTGAGCTGTTTGTGTGTCACCTGGATGGCTCCGCCCGTGGTTTCCTTTGGCAACCCCTTCAGCGAGTTCTCCAGCCAGCGGCAGAACGTCTGCACCAGGGAAAGGGAGGAACTCAGAACATGGAGCCCAGCCTGGCTCCCGGGCCCTGCCAGAGCTCTGGGTGCCAGCCCTGCCCTCCGGGGGTCCCTCCTGCCCCTCTGGGGTCCCTCCCTCACCGGGCGGTCGATCTGCATGATCTCCCAGAGCACCTCGGCGACGTCGGGCAGGGTGTAGGGCGGCAGGCAGAAGCAGCACGTCTGCAGGAGCTGGTTCACGAGCTGCTGCCCCAGCTGGGTCATCACCTGGTTGATGAGCTCCTTCCGCACCTCAAAGTCCTCCTCATGCTGTGGGAGGAAGGAGAAGGGGGTGGGCAGGGCCTGGGGACAGGGACACACTGGTCCTGGGGACAGGGATAAGCTCCTCGCTCTGCACACAACCCCCAGAGCTTCTCTGCCAGCAGCAGTGGAGAGACCTGGGTGGCTTGTGCGGACAACAGGGCAGGGCAGATGAGGATGGTGGGGCTGACGGGGCTGGAGCAGCCTGGCACAGTGGGAGGTGTCCCTGCCCACAGCAGGGTGGCACTGGAGGGGCTCTGAAGTCCCTTCCCACCCAACCCATTCCAGGAATCCATGGTGACATCCCTACGGAGGAAGAGCCTCCTGAGGAAGGTGCCCGTGGGTCACTCACGTCGTTGGCCACCCCGGTGTGGATGAGATCCCGCAGGAATTTCATGACGCTGCAGTTGGCGTCCCGGTGGTCCAGGGTGGTGGCAGCGATGGCCCACTGCAGGATGGGGATCATCACCTGGCTGCGCAGGAGGGTGATGGGGCTGCGCTGGATGAACCTGCCCGGGCAGACAGACGGACGGATGTCAGGGCAGGACCTGCCCCTCCCCGCTCCACTGCTCCCGTGGGTGCTCCCACGGGGACCCTCCAAGAGGGGAGAGGGGCTGGTGGGCTGTGAAGGAGGTGGCACCTGGCTGCCAGGCGGAAGAGGTCATCCACGGTGTCCGGGTGGTTCTGGAGGCCGTTGGGTTGCTCCAGCAGCTGGAAGGTGGGGATGCAGAGAGCCTGGGGAGAATGGGGATCCATCAGCAACTACCTGGGATCACGCCTCAAGGGCCCTTCCCCACATGGAACAGGCTAGGGCTGCCCCATCCCTGGAAGTGTCCAAGCACAGGCTGGAGGGGGCTGGGGACAGCCTGGGACAGTGGAAGGTGTCCCTGCCCACAGATGGGTTCCAAGGTCCCTTCTCACCCAAACCTGTTTGAGATTCTATATAGACTGGGTATTAGGGAAAATTCCTCCTGGAAAGGGCTGTCCAGCCCTGGCACAGCTGCCCAGGACAGGGGTGGAGTCCCCCACCCCCAGAGGGACTGAAAAGCTGTGTGGATGTGGCACTTGGGGACAGGGTCAGTGGTGGCCTCGGCAGTGCTGGGGGATGGTTGGACTTGGTGTGGTCTGAGGGATTTCCACCCTGAGTGACGCTGTGATTTGGGGCCCCACCTGCAGCATGTCGAGCAGGCCCTGCCGGCAGCCCTCCTCCATGCCGTACTCATCCACCAGGATGCTGCCCAGGTAGAGGAAACAGGAGTGCTGGTGTTCCCGGTACACATTCACCATCTGGGGAGACAGGAACGCTGCACAGGCACCGCCAGATCTGCCCTGACCCCACATCCCTCCAGGCCCAGCCCGTCCCCTGGGGGCAGGGACATCCCAATGGACTCGCTCAGGTCCTGGGAGCAGCTCTGAGCTGAGGCCACCTGAGCCAGCAGTGCTTCCCCTTGGAGCCTGGCAGGAGCCAAGCGGAGCAGGGAACACCAGCTCTGGGACTCAGGGATGCTTCCCTCAGGCTGGGTTACCTCCCCAGGGAGCTGCACCATGCAGGGTTTCACACACTCCTCCCAGATCACACACACACAGAGGGCTCCACAACCTCCCGGCACCTCCCACCTCTTCCAAAGCCTCTCTCCTCCCCACGACTGCCAGGATTCAGCGCGGCACTCCCCAGTGCCCACACCACCCCTGCGACCCGAGCGAGCCCCCGAGGCAGCCCCGGTCCCCGTGAGCCCCCAGAGGGCGGGCTGGCCCACCTGGGTGACGAGGGGCTGCAGCAGCGCGGCCGAGCCCTTGCCCACGCAGCGCACGGCGAAGCGCAGGCAGCGGCAGCAGCGCTCCACGATCCGGTTGTCGGCACTGTGCTTGTTCAGCGTCTCCGACAGCACCGGCCAGATCTGGGCACGGACACGCCCAGGGTCACATCCCACCCGGGACACCGCCCACTCCCTCCCGGGCCCCAAACACCCAATCCCCGGGGATGGCAGAGGAGGGAGAAAAGCTTCCTGGAGGAGCCTGGGGTGGTTTATCCCCTCCAGTGCAGCAAATGTGACACGGGCAGGGAAATCAAACACCGGGGGCATGCCCAGAGCCAGGGCCTCTTCCAGAGGGTTGAAGCCTCATATTTACCCCTCCACACCCCAATCCCTGCTTCCAGGAGGGACAGGAGGGTGTCCCACAGCTCCCCTCCCGTGCAGCCCTGGGCAGACAGGGACTGGGACTCTGTACAACACCCCAGGAACCCCCATACCTGGAAACCCCCACCCCAAAACCCTCTCCCCAAATCCCAGCCCTCTCCCACGCACCTCCTGAATGACTTTTTGGCACGGGTGGACCTGGCCGTTCTCAACAATGGGGTTGGTGTGTCTGTGGGAACAGCCAAGGGTTAAGGGGGGTTTAGGATGAAAGTAAAGGAAAAGGGTTGGAGCTGTGGGAAGCAGACCAGGAACTGGCTTGAGGGGCACCTCAGGAGCTGGAACCTGGGGAAGCAGAGACTTCCACGTACCTCCTGGAAACCCCCACCCCAAAACCCTCTCCCCAAATCCCAGCCCTCTCCCACGCACCTCCTGGAAACCCCCACCCCAAAACCCTCTCCCCAAATCCCGGCCCTCTCCCACGCACCTCCTGAATGACTTTTTGGCACGGGTGGACCTGGCCGTTCTCAACAATGGGGTTGGTGTGTCTGTGGGAACAGCCAAGGGTTAAGGGGGGTTTAGGATGAAAGTAAAGGAAAAGGGTTGGAGCTGTGGGAAGCAGACCAGGAACTGGCTTGAGGGGCACCTCAGGAGCTGGAACCTGGGGAAGCAGAGACTTCCAGCCCACTCCCCAAGGGCTGGGGAGAAGGAGGCGGTGCAGATTCAGGCTCTGGGGGAGCAGCAGGGCCCCAGCCCCTTCCTCACCTGAAGATGACAGCGAGTCGATCCAGGGGCACTGTAGGGTCTGAGGAGAGGCCATTGCTTGGCTCCTGGGAGAGCAGCTGGAAAACAAGGGAAAAGGATGGGATTTCAGGAGCACAGGTAGCCCTGGGAAGACACTGCCTGGACACTGACACCAGCAGCAGCACCTCTGCTCCTCCTCAGGTGGGATCAGGGAAGGGCTCAGTCCTGGACATGTCCTGTGTGGGGCTGGGCCTTGCCCCCATGGAACAAGTGACAGGATGACAGGGAATGGCCTCAAGCTGTGCCAGGAGAGGGTCAGGCTGGATATTGGGGAAACCTCCTGGCACTGGCACAGCGGCCCAGGGCAGGGGTGGAGTCCCCATCCCTGAAGGGATTTAGAAGCTGTGTGGATGTGGCACTTGGGGACACGGGCAGTGGTGGCCTTGGCAGTGCTGGGGAACAGTTGGACTCGAGGGGATTCTCCAACCCAAACAATTCCATTACTCTAGGATACACCTCTGGCTCTGAGGACACAGTTGCCACAGCAGGGCTGG